TCATTCATTCATTCATTCATTCATTCATTCATTCATTCATTCATTCACCCACTCATCCATTCATCCACACATCCATCCATCCATCCATCCATCCACCTAGCCATCCAGCCATCTGTGCTGAGAAAAACAGCTACTTTATTGCCAATATCATGTAGAACTTCCTGCCATTATCTTACCACATTTAAATTACCCCTGACAAAAACAAAAGCTGAATTGTTCAAAAGTGCAGATTTAAGGCTAAAACATTTATCAAAGTGTGTCCTAAACTGATGCATAACTTATCCTTTCAACAAAGTCTATTAGGTCTAATACTGTAAGATCCACACATACTGTGAATACTCACCTGGCAGAGTTGGCAGTGCTCCAAGTATTTCAAATTCAGGATCTGAAATAATAAAAACAATCAATTTAGTTCTGTTTTAAATCAGTTTTAAATTAAAATCTAGTGACAGTTATCTTTTACATGTGCATGAACAGAAGTTTAGTAAATGCATTTCAAATCCAAAACAGGAACATACAGTACATACAAAAGTACTAAGGATATATCCTTATAAGTGTATTTTCATCAACCTACGCAGTGTTGTTGGAAACAAACATTTTTTAACTTGTATTTTTGCATCTATTGTTCTGTAATTTTTAAAATAGGTGCAAATTTCACTGCAACCCATGAGTTTTACCCGTATTTACAAACCCTAGATTGTTAAACACAAAAAAGAAAGAAAAGGTCATTCCATTGAATTAAATAAAACAATACTGAAAGCATATTGAAATTCATAATAAAGCCCCAGCTGGAGTTTACATAATCTATGAACCAGTGCATTTCCTCTGACCTCATTTAAACACCCCTAAAATCCTTATGCTATTCATCATTTTTTTGCAAAAAACAAAGTCTCAACAAGGACACATTATGTTGTGAACCTTTGCACAGATGAAACTACTTGCTAGGTGGATTAAAAAAATCTCAGTAGACCAGCTAAGCTGAGAACAGATTAGGTTCCGGTGGCACCAACTCCAAACTGGTGATAATAATTTTATTTATAACGATAATTATTTTGGTAGAACTCTTTACAACTGTAAAAAAAAAAAAAAACTTTACTGTAAGTCAATTAAGCAGCGTAGCCTGTACCAAAAGAAAACCAAGGAGAGCAGAGAAATATTTATTAAACTTGTCTTTTTTAATTTTACTAATTTCTCATATTTAAATTATGTTTAACTCATGGTCATAGATGATCTAGAGCAGTAGACAGTCAGTTTAGAAAAGAAGGTGATGAACCCAACTGAGGTTTAAATCAGCAAGGACTCTTGTTAATCCTCTCATGTTTCTTACCCGTTCTGCTTCAGGCTTGGGGAGATTATTCAACATCATTCCAGTTGGTTGTGTGTGAGGGTGTGCATGTGTATGTGTGTGTGTGTGGGTTGGGGGGGGAATGATGCTACAATACAATCGCGAGAGATTTATGCCAAATACAAGAAAAGAACTGTAAAGCTAAAATCAAAATAAGATGTACAACGGTTTATAATAATCGTCCTCTGACTTCACAGGAAAATCTGGGGCATATTCAAGAACAGGGAGCATTATTACCAAAAAAAAAAAAAGATTTAACAAATCTAGGACATACATAAAAAAATAAAAACTACAACAAGACATATAAATAGTTTTAAGCTATTTTACTTTTTACTCAGAACATAAGAAAGACATGTCAAAATATAAAAAATGCTAAACACAAGTACATAAGAGATAACCAAAGAGCTCTACAGTGACTGGTCTGAATGACTACCGGCCAGTAGCCCTCACCCTGGTAGTCACTAAATGCTTTGAAGGACTGGTCATGGCCCACATCAAAACAACCATCAACATCAGTGAGGACCCTTGCCAGTACGCATACCACGAGATCCGATCAACAGAAGACACCATCTCCTCTGTGGTCCACACTGCTCTCACCCACCTGGAGCAGAAGGACTCGTACATTCGAATGCTATTTGTGGACTTCATGTCTGCCTTCAACAACATGATTCCCCAGACAACAACTGGGTCCTGGATTTCTTAATCAACAGGCTGCAGTCTGTGAGGATCCACAACTTCTCCTCCTCCACCATAACCCTCAGCACTGGCTCCCCTCAGGGCTGTGTGTTGAGCCCATCCTGTTCACTCAGCTAACATATGACTGCGCGACAACCCATCTAGGCTGTCACATTGTAAAGTGTGCAGACGAAACAGCAGTAGTGGGATGAATCACAAACAACGATGAGTCCAGCTACAGGCAGGAGGTGGAACACCTGGAGAGCTGCTGCAGGAAGAACAACATTCACATCAATGTGAAGAAGATGAAAGAGATGATTGTGGAAGTTCAGATGCAGCAAACACACCCACCCCTGAACATGCATGGGAGGATCTGTGGTGGAAGTGGTCTCCAGCTACAAGTACTTGGGTGTGCACCTGAATGACAACCTCAGCTGGGGCAACAACAGCCTGTTCAAGAAAGCTCATTAGAGACTCTACTTCCTCAGGCGGCTGAGACGAGCTGGTCTGGGAAGCTCAGTCCTCACCTCTTTCTACAGGTGTGCAGTGGAGAGCATCCTGTGCTCCAGCATCAACGTGTGGCATGGAGGCTGCACAGCTGCAGAAAGAAAAGCTTTGCAGAGAGTGGTGAAGGCTGCACAGAAGTCTGTTGGAGTCAGTCTCCCCACCATCACAGACATCTACACCTCAGGAAGAGGGCCACCTGCATCATGAAGGACCCCACTCACCCAGCACACACACTTTTTGCCCCGCTCCCCTCAAGCTGAAAGTTGTTGAGAATTAATTGTAGAACCACTAGACTGAGGAACAGCTTCTACCCTGAAGCTGTTAGACTCATGAATCCCTAGCCTGGATAATCACTGTAAAATAATAATAAATAAATAACATCACTGTAATGCCAATTTAATCGGTGACATGTGATGTATCTGTGCTGCTGATCCATGCTGCTGATCTCATGCTGCTGTATTCATTTGTACACATCTTTTCACCACAGACTCATGTTCAGACTGCTGTTATTAAACCATGTTGTTTTGCATTGTTAGTGTTTAGCATACTGTATATCTTATATCTTTTGATGTACTGTTTGATGTTCGTTTGGCATACATCTTAGATCCTTATATACTGTTTCTTTTTAAAATTTATATTTTTGCTGTTGTTGGGTGTAACTGGGACCCTGTGTACATAATTTTGTTCCACCTCATGTACCATGTGTTGAGAATGACAATAAACCTGACTTGAACTTGATAAAAAGAAAGATACATTACTGTAACACGGAATAGGAAAAATGCAAGCGAGTAATTAAATGTGTCATAGCTGTCACAACCTGGTTCTGGGGTTGCGACAAAAATGAGGGAAAAGGACACAAAATATGTTTTTATAAATGTTTACTGTAAAATATAAATTTAATGACCAGACGGAGAACTCAAACCTGTAAAAAAAGAGTTGAATTAACCAGACTGACCAGGCCAAACCAAATAAACTAACCAGGCAGACCAAGCCAAAACCAAACAAACTAAACTCAGACAACAGATCAGCATAACAAGACAAAACATAACCCAAAAAAAGACCTGCAAGCAAGGAGAGAGCACAGGCCTGATGTCCTCCTCCTTGAGCAACAACACCTCTCTCTTTATACTAAAGTGTATAAAGTGTAGTGTCCTTGGGTGTCCTGAAAGGTGCTTTTTAAATAAAATGATTATTATTATTATTATTACTGGGCTGAGCCAGCAACTCAGGTGTTCCCAATAATTAGCTGCTGCACTCTGCTCAACAGAGCCGTCCCTGACAGGGTCGTCACATAGCTAATAGGTATAACTGGTCAGTAAATTGATTGGTTATTAAACAAGCATGAATCAAATTTTAAGTAGGAATCTCACCACTCTGTGGAAAACTGAGAAGGCAGACAAGTGGGGTCAAAACATTTACTGTAGTGGTTCTCAAAGTTGGCATCAGGACCTCACCATGGATCATGACACACTAAATGTGGGGTCTTGAGATAAAGAACAGTTTTACCCATCAAGGCCAATTCCTACGTAAATGAAGTGGAGCATTGAACTCCTACAAGGGAACTAGCCAAAGGTTTTGACATGTGAACGATATCTGGGTCAAAATCCAAGCCAAAGAAGCTTTTACTGTACACATCAACTCAGTGGACATCTACAAGTTCATTTTCTGTAGTCTGATTTGAAACAGATACAAATGCAGTCAGAGGTTCACGTACAGCAGTCCTGGGAATGAATGTTCATCTGGTGCTATTAATGCTTCAATATTTCAGGAAATAATGATTACACTGCATACAACTTCAATTCTTTTTAAAATCGAACGAATTGTGAGTTTAAAGTGGATTTTCTCTAACCCACATGTTTCACGTTCTGCGCATTTAGGCTGGATAAAAAGCTGCTTCTAAATGTTGGCAATGTTTTTCAGAGCATTCACTGCACAAAAAGGACCCATTCCCAGCAGAAGGTTTGACTGCGTTTCAGTTGAAAAAAAAAAAGACTACATTCATGCACGCATGTGGCTGAACTCTCCTCTGGCACTCCTGACGGGAAGAATTAGAGATGAGATTAACTTCTGACCTGAAGGACCATCGCATGGGATGAAAACACACAGAAACCAGCTTCTCCAACACATCGTTTTACAGAGACAAATTGTGTTAGGTAAAATGTTTTAGCCTCTGAAAGGTGAAGCAGAGAGTCAGTTACATTCTTTTATATATTGAATTAAAAATAATGCTATCCCCTGACAGGCTGGCAAAGTAAAAGTGAAGCGTGCAGAGTGGGCTGAAAATGCAAAAACTGGAACAATTCCTTGGTGAATAAAAACAATAGCAGAGACTTTATAATGCAAGAAAAGTAAGATAGATTGAAAGATGAGCAGAGTGATGCGGATTAATCTTTGCCCCTTGTTGGTGAAGGTGGCCTATAAAATCTGTGGTTAATAAAGCCTCTGCCTTGGGCGCCCTTAAGCTGCTACTGCGGCTCAGGGCCGACAAGCTGCATCCCTGAAGACAAGCTTTCATCAACTCTTGTGTATGAGAGACGTGGGGAACAAGTGCCTCAATGCGTGCATGTGTGGTTGTGTACGCATGTGTGTATTTGCACGTGTTCTCTCGCTTGTGTCAGCTGCAGCTGCTGTGCCTGCCCTTCCAATAGATAAGACAGCATGTTAACAACAGCATGCACTCTTACTAAAGTTGCAGCACGCAGCAATGCACTCAAACTACCTCAGACCCATTTCTCCTTTTTATTTATTCCAAAGTTTTCATTTTATCATTACAACACAATACAATAATACTACTGGTGTAATATTATTTATAGTATAATTTCTGAACATGATGAAAAAAGGACAAACGGGGAGAAATTGTCAAGGAAACGAAGCAGAGGTTTAGTTCTGGTCACAACTCTGATCAGTCTTCCCTCCAGATGAATGAACTCCCACCAGAAAACGTCTAACAGTACAGCTGTGGCAGATAAAATATGTATTTCTCACAAATGACAAAGAAAAACAAAAAGATCGATAAACTGCAAAAATAAACAAACAATAAAATCAATTCCTCGGTCACACTGCAGCATATGTATAATTTTTACTTTTACTTACTTCTACTACTATTTTTACTTTACAACAAAGTAGACCTACTGTATGTATTTAAGAAGGTGACTCCCTAACTTCCATATCAGTGCATTTGTTAAATAACCTACGTATATATGACAACGAGCGGCACGCACTTAAGACTGCTGCCTCGCAGCAAGAAGATCGTCGGTTCGAATCCCAGCCAGGGGGGCCATTCTGGGTGGAGTTTGCATGTTCTCTTCGTGCATGCGTGGGTTTTCTTGGGGTAACCCAGTTTCCTCCCACAGACCAAAAACATGCATGTTAGGCTGATTGGTAACTCTAAATTGGCCCTAGATGAGTGAGAGTGAATGGTTTTTTGTCTCATTTGTCTCTATGTGTCCCTGTGATGGACTGGAGACTTGTCCAGGGTGTACCCCGCCTCTCGCAGAGTGATGGATGGACATGGGTACAACTGACCCCCATGACCCAAAAAGGAAGAAGTGGGTAAAAGATAATGGATGGATGGATGGATACAGTATACGACAACAACATAACACATTTCCTGAAATGTTCTGCTCCTCTGTCCAAACCTGCAGTCTCCGAATGAAAAAAAAACAACTGGCAAATAAGTTGTTTTCGCAGTTCATAGGTACAATTTCCCAAAACTACAGAACATAATAGCGATATATAATCTATAGTTAGTCATTTTTATGTGACATTGGGTCTATTGATGCACCGATAAATCAGTCGGCCAATTTATCGGCCCCGATTTCCTTAATTTTGGGAGATTGACCGATACATGAGAAACTGATTTTTCCAATTATTTTCTAGTTTTACAAACAATTGTCTAAACTTCGTTTATATTTCAGAGCACCATCTCATGGCCAGTTAAAACAAGTGTGTAATGTTTCTAAGATATTGTTCAAGGCTATGTTTTTCAATAAAATAAGATTGGAAAATAATGTGAAGGGCAGTTTTAAATGCAAAGACTTTTGCACCTATGTAGGCCGTCAGATTAATTTTCTACAAATAACTATAGATGTATCAAAACAAGAGAGAGAGGAGTTTTAAGAGAAGCACCCTTCGCAACTTCATTTATCAATAACCTAACAGAAAAAAAAATCATGATGGGAGGACTGTGTGCACAATATCAATCTCTTCATAAACCAACATGATGCAATGTTGCTGCCTGTTCAGTTGCCTGTTGACTTGAACTTGAATGCAGTTCTGTTAAAATGAAGTGTCCATGCACAGAACTGTAGGGACTTCTTCAGACTCATATCTCACCTTGTGTGAAGTTATACCGTGCAGAGAAGCCAATGGCATCAAGTTCACCATCAGCCACAAACTTGATGTACAGGTACCTCCCACTGGAGCGGATAAAGGTGGGGCTTTCCTGCCCACAGTAGCGACCAATGATAGGCGAGAAGGCAAAGGGTCCATCACGGATTTCAATATGGTCAAACCTACACTCCCAGGACGGCTCGATGGCGTATTTTTCATCAAAAAACAAGTCGATGCACTGTCGAGGTGAGGCTGCGGAAGAAAATTCAGAGGCGGAGAATGAAAGTGGGAAGGAAAGTGTCCTGAAGCCAAGAGCAGTGGTGTCCAAACTGTTTCTTTTGCTAAAAATGGCTCAGTGTGATCAAAAATGAAAGTACTTGAGGGCCAAAATAAATTTAGTTTAAATGAAAAAAGAAAAAGCATACACTTTTTTTTGTGATTCTTTTTTCTAATTCAACAAAAATGTGAACAATGTTTTTGATAAAAGTATAATTACTTTGTTGGAGAAGGATTTTTAAATTGTAGCAGAAACTTAAAAAGCCTTGAAACATAAATCTTGTTACAAGAAGAGCAATCAATTCCTTTTCTTGGGTTCATTGTTTTTTTTTTTTTGTTTGTTTTCTTGTGCTTGGAAAATACATTTTAGTCAGTAACTCAGTAAAGCTTTGTGGTGCTTTGTACAATGAAACTGAAACAAGAAAAATAAATGGAACGTATTAAAGCCAAAGATTAGTGCTGTACCTTATATTGCACATTTTGAGAAACTAATTTCTCATTGATGATTCTGTTAAACTTAAAGTTATATATAACATGCATAACTATTAAATTTGCAGAAGGTGTACAACTGCATCAACTTCAAGTCTGCAGACCAAAATTATACCATTCTTTAATTGTAGTCACGAGCCGCAAATGGCCCGTTGGCCAGACTTTAAACAACCTTGGGCTAGAACGTCTCACCTTCTATGATGTAGATGCATTCCCTCTCCGGCGGGTATTTCTCAGGGTAGTTGGGGGACGTGAAATACCCCCCACTGGATTCTTTTACCCAAGTCCCACACTGTCCAGCTGGTGTCACGCCTGAGTTGTTTTTCACTAGCAACAAAAAAAGTGCAACGCCTATAGTTTTTATTTTCTTTTTACAATGCCACATTACTTATATTTTAAAATATGTTGAATACTTAAATGTCAAGTATACAAATATGAAGTCATTTTTATTTAAATTTTTATTTTCAGAACGTAAATCCAGGCTGAAACATGTGTCAATATTGCAATACAAAGAACATTTTTCATATCATTTTAGGAAGAAAATAAATTTTAAAAACAGTCAATGTCAAGTACTTTTAGAAAAACAAACTCAACTTTTGCATTTGAGTTTCAGTCAACTGAATCATCTTGGATTTGAATCAATGAACTGAAGCTGCAACAAAGTTTTGTTTCTCAGCTTTATCCTGAAGTAAATCTATCACTCGCTGGTGGTGTTCTGTAGTCATACCTTGCATTTTCCTGGTGGTTGCAGTGCCCCCGCACAGCTCGGGGAGGACAAGACTTGTTGCTAACACAGAAAAACCACAAGAGAAAAGGACTTTTAAAAATACTGTTTAAAATGGTCGTATTTCAATTTCTGCACCCACTGTACCACATTTGGATTACTGCAGAGAGGTCTAAGGCAGCACAGACAAAACAACACTGGAACCATTATGTAAACTAAAATTAAATACGCTGGCTTTAGTGAACATACTATTGTGTTATTCTACAAGTCAAATGTCCAAAGTTTGTTGATTTGGTTAAATACAAAACTGCACAAATGTTGTACAAAGAATCCAACAATTTTCTGTCAGGTCATCTGGACAGTTTCTTTTTTTGTTTTTTTCTGAAACTTCTCACCTTCCATCCAGAAGGCTTCATCAGTAAAGGAAACACACAACACAAAACTGATTCCTGATGAGGGAAGAATCAGTTTTGTGTTGTGTGCTTCCTTGACTGATGAAGCCTTCTGGATGGAAGGTGAAACATTTCAGCACAAAAAAAAGAAACTGTCCAGATGACCTGACTGAAAATTGTTTGATTGTATACCTGGATTATTGAGCATACTTTGTTGGTTGTACAAAGAAATACACAACCTTTTTCCTGTAAGCATACAAAAATGTTTGTCGATATGGAAGCTATAATCCTTGAGGGAGAAATACTTGGAAAAATGTATGCGCAAGAGCAAATTTGAAATAGTTTTGTACTTCTGTCTGTCAAGTAAAACTGTGTACTCTGTATAAATACAATGGAATATACAAATATCATTCATTTAAATATATGATTTAAGACATTAGGTAGCAGTACACAATCTGTTACCTGGTACATACCAGGTAGTACATGGTATGTACCAGGTAATGTCCTGATGCATGCTCAATAATCCAGGTAGATAAATCTAAGAAGGTTAAGCTAGGTCTTCTGGACAGATTTTTCTTAAGAAGAATTCATCCAGAGGACGTGACTCAACCTTGTAAGAAGTACCTGGTACTTACTTACTTACTTACTTACCCTTTATATCAAGTGGGTAAGTACTTGATACATGCCAAATAAGAACCAGTATGTATTGGGTAAATACCTGGCAGTATAATCTATTGCTACCAGACATTACATTCAAACAGTATTTTGCTCTGATTCATAGGCCATGTGTGTATATGTACCTATAGATGTGTGAAATGTTTGTATAAGTGTGTGTAAATGTATATATATATATATATATATATATATATATGCTGAAAGCATGTGAATCCAGTTGTTATTTCATGTTTGACCAAATACCATAGGCATGAAGACGTATTTCTAGATGATGGATACACCAACATTATAAAATAAAGACAGTTTTATATGGATACATTGGAGTAAGATACAATATATAGTTTAATACCTCTTCCTACTCCATTCTGGACAAAACATTAAGTCGTTCTATTATAAATAAAATGTATAATTTATTTTATTTTATCTATTTGTGTTGTTTCCTGATGCAGGCTCAAAGGAATTATTAGGGGTATTTGTATTGTTGTTACTGTAATTTCCATTATTATTTTTTTTACTTTTCCCTCTGCTATGTTCAAAACAGACCATTCAATGAATGAATCAATGACTCAATAGAGAGAACTCACCGATGCACAGCAGCACTTTGAGCTCCATATCTGTTCCTGAGGATGATCAGTTCTGTCTCAGATGCCATCAAAGTGTTCGCTCGCCTGGGACCTTCACTTTTATTCCATCTTCAGGTTGTAAAACTGTTTTTATTCCTCCCAGAATGTGCCAAACCCGAGCACAGACACTTGTCCATCCATCTCAGTGTCCCCGGGTCTCCCGACAGCTGTGAGGATTAACTCATCGGCCACAAATCTTCACCATTTTATTTATTTATTTGTTTTGCTCCACCTTTAGTCGGTGTTAATCCTCTGTGAACACAGTAGTGTATGAGGTTCCATTAGTGCCAAAAATATGTGTCTATGAAACGTGTGCATGTAGTGTGCTGTGTATATGTACGGTGATATGTTACTTTACATATATGCTTAACATATCTCTTAACATATCATCTTACCTAAAAAAGTTAAATCTGGTCCTCTGGACATTCAAAAAAAAAAATTGTAGAAACATTTCGTCTTTCATCCGAAAGACTTCTTCAGTCTGAGGTGCTGTATTCAGCTCAGTCTTATAAATTGAGCATGCATCAGGATATCACCTTACATGTACACAGCACGCTACATTCCCGTTCTACAGACACATAAACATATTTTTGGCACTAATGGAACCTCATACAGTGTCGATATATCCGTGGTTACCCGTGTGGGGCGCATGGACATATCTTCCTTTTTCCAGTTTTGAATTTTAGAGCACTTTTATCGGTCGCCAAGGCGGAAAGCAGCAGGACGGCAACGGATTCCCTATTAAAAACACTTACTGAAGCATACTACATTTGTTTCCAAATTAACCGATTTACCATTAAACGTGAAACCAGAAATTTACTTCGAGGCTGTACAAATCTAATCGTGTTTATATTCCAAACAAAGAGGGCACAATAATATACCGATTCTGGGCCAAATCTGGCCCGTGGGAGGAGCATGTGGACATTGAGTTGTGGTGGGCGGATCTATCCAATATCGATAATATCAATACCAACATGGGTATTGATATTGATCAATACCAGTGTAATGAGATCGATACTTTGGCTTCAGTTTCTCTCCTGTATGAACTGCTGTGGTTTCATTAAAGATGCGAGCCGACTGTGTGTGTTGGTGTCGCTCCTGTCACAGAGTTAGCAGGACCCACAGAGAGGCTTCTGGGAATATTTCTTTGAACTCAAGGCTTTGGAGGTTGTTTTGTCATTTACTCTTTATTTATGGTATCTTCACTAATTGTTTTTGATTTGTAATTTTTTTTTTTTTTCAAACCCAGAAAAGAAATTCACTTAAGAGGATAAATGTTGTTTTATTCCTTTATAGCCTAAATATATTTTACTGTTTTATAACATTTGTTGCGGTGTGATAACTTTGTACTGTTTGTTTATTTAAGAAGAAAAAAAAAACATCCAGAAAAGGAGTGCAATTTTTTTCATTTTTTCATTGATCCTTTATTTATCCAGGTAGTCTCACTGAGCCACGAGAACTCATTTTCAAGAGAGACCTGTTTAGGAGCAGATGGGGGTTAAGGACCTTGCTCAGGGGCCCAGAGTGGGGCGAATGAGGGTGGGGGCAGGTGTGGGTGCTTCACCTACCCCACCCACATTTTTGATGTTGGTACCGGGGCTTGAACCGGCGATCTTCCGATCACCAATACAGCAATAACAGCAATGAAGAGATAATTGTTATTTAATCATCAGTTTCTGAACACAATGTTTTAATTTATTATTGAGTGATCATTCTGTGCACTTTGTTTAAGGAAAAATCCAGCCATCACCATTACTTTAAGGTATGGGGAAAATTGTTGCTGTTTTATTTTTTTAGAAAAAAAAAACAAAAAAACTTTTATTATAATAAAGTACTTTTATTTACTTATAAACTTTGTCTAATTCTATCCTGGGTTTTAACTGATAAACTAATACATTTTGGGATTAATTAACTAATAAATGATCCAAAGGAAAAATCACAAAACACTTAAACATCATCAAAATTCACCGCAATTATTTAAAATCATATCGGTATAAGTATCTGTGATATTGGACCTGTATTTATTTGGTATCGATCGATATCAATACCAAATTTTGCAGTATTGCGCACCACTAACTTTGAGGGGTGGGATGGTATAGTACCCTACCATTTGCAAAAGTTTGGAAAAATAAGATGGGAAAGTATTTATTTTATTTAGGGTGTTCTGTGTGCATTTCTCATTTTAAAGCATCCCACAAACAATTGGTTATTTGATTATCTTTGTTTTGTTTCGCTTTAATTAATGCGTGTAATTAAGTGTAGCTCTGTCTGAGCTGTTGACTGGGGACAAGTCGGAGACTCAAAGTCATAAAAAAATAAACAAACACATAAATTGCTTGGAGTTTGCACACATTTTGACAAATAATGCAGCTTTAGCATTCTATTATGGAAACTAAGCTGAGAAATGTTCAACACCTGTCAAACAGCTTCATTACTGCAAAACCTGTTTTAATGGATGGAATGAGAAAAAAAAAAAAGACCCAACATTTTATGTGGATTTTACATTTAAGTCATGACTGTCAAACACTGTTGAGCTGGTTCCTGCTGGAACAGGATCTGGGAACTCTTATTTTGACAGAGTCAGGTATTTGTAGGGTCAGGCCTACAAATAATAATGTTATGAACAAATTTGACTGCCTTTAACAAAAAAGATAAATACGGAACAAATGATGACACTCTTAAACGGGCCTGTAAATCTGTTTTTTTGTTTGTTTGTTCTTTTTATACAAGTTGGCTCCTCAACACCACCTGTCAATCAATCCATTAGGCATGTCAGCATCTGACCAATTAGTGATTTCAATTTGTCCTGGAAGTGGATTCCCTTTAGCTACAGAGCTGCAGCCCAGTTTTCCTCCACCAACATTGTTGGAGTTTTGCATTATGAACACTTTGCAATTATAGAGACTCTGTGAAAAATCATCAGAAAAAAATGGTTAAAGTTGTCAGTGGGGAACGTGCCATTCAGACATGTGTGTTACCCTGAGCGTTTAGTGGAATGTCTTGTAAATGGATGGTTTAGGGCTAAAAATCTCTTTCCCAAAGAGGTCAGCAGATGGCAATATAATCGTATTTATTGCAAGTTGGATATCTATTCCTTTCTTGCAAGAACTGTATACACAAAATAAGTTCATTGTGCTCAAAAATAGTAATGTCTTCTTCTTCTGGCTGTTCTCTCTTCAAGTGTTGCCATCCTCTTTCCTCACTCCACCTACCTCCATGTCCTCTCTAACTGAATGCATAAACGTCCTCTTTGGCCTTTCTTTTTTTTTTTTTTTTTTTGGCAGCTTCATTTCTCAGTCTATCCTCTCTAACTTTATCTCCCAGTTGTTTAACCTGTGCTGTACCTCTGATGATTTTATTCCTAACCTTCCCCATCCTTGTCAGTCCTGAACCGTTCAACATAGCTGGTGCTAATTTTTGCTTCCAAATCGTGTTCTTTTTAAATCCTATTACAGACAGTGTGTATATCGAAAGTTTGTTACAATCTGCCTGACTCATTTAGGTGTTAATGGATATAGCCTACTTATGGAATAATAACAGTAGCTTAAACTGATATTTTGTGCACTGTGTGAGTCTGGATCTAAAAGTACTTGTGCTTTTTATTATTTTTAAGGGTGCTTATGCAAAGGCATTGAGGCACTTAAAAAAAAAAAAATTCTACCAAATACATTTCTGACAGAATTTTTGATTTGATCTGTTCTCTCAGCTTTAGACAAACTATGCCAAAACTTAAAGCTTGAACAATAGAGTATTATAATTGTTTGTCAGTCATGCAACGAATGACGTAAAAGAACGTTACTTAAAACTGGAGATAAAATCCTCATTCAAGACAATGGAATTTTAGCAAAATAGATAAGAAGACCCACATCTCTTTGGATCTCTGTATAGCAGAAGCATCATTCAAGGTTTAAACAGGTCAAATTCCAATTTACTTTAAATATATATATTTTTTAATACAACAGTTTTTGCACATAAGCTACTTATTTTGGGCCGTTTCTTCTGCCAGCCTAATTTTGATTGCTGTCAAGAAATGACAAAAATACATGCAAGAGTTTAAACTTTTCTTTATTTGTGTTTTTTGACACTATGTCACCATTTTGTCAGCTTAGATTGTTACAAAAGTGAGAACTAAATCAATATTGGACTTTTGGAAAAAGAAAGTTGATGTATGTTGTAATTTCAGCTCTGTAGCTGTTTAGCCATTCTTTTATTCCCAGAAATTTTACAATGAGCTTTTTTTTTTTTTTTAGCATTGAACTTTCTGTACACTGCAGTGATATTTCAAAAGAAATATATTTTCTGAGCAAATGGACAGAAAGAACAGAACGTGTTGGAGGCAGAAGTGTGGATAACACACACACATACAACCATACAAACTCTCACAAATGTGCTTGTGTTGTCGACGCAGATGAATCAGTGCTTTGTGGTCGCTTTGCAGGGGAAATACTGGCCACCCTGCCGGCAGCAGTTCTCACACATAGTGACGAAAAAACCCTCAACACAGGAAATCCACCACTTACAGAAACTTGTGAATGAATGGATGTTCGGTGAACTTGGGCACTTTTGTTTTAAACTTTATGTTGCAGCTATGTGGGAAAACTAATTACCAAAAGAGAAAATATCTGTTTGCTGTCTCTAGCATCTTAGAAGGCCATAGTCATCTTATAATGAGCAGAGTTCACCTTTTCCTGTTAAAATAAAAAACTTGGACCCAGCAAACTGTGCAATATTAGTAACAAGCGTGGGCTCCCATCAAAACATCCACCCGTTTACCTTCATGTCACTTCTTGCGGGATCAGGTTCCTCTTTAAATAAATTAGCCCTGAAGTCTCAACAGATTTCTCCCTGCCTGTGTGAGTATGTGTGTATCAGTGTGTGTGTGTTAGTGTGTGTGTTAGTGTGTAAGGTGAAGGGGAGTGAGGGGGAGCTAGAGGCGTGGTCCACTGCGTTGCTATGGGCAAATTTGTATATAAGTGCAAAAATGAGCAGCACTCCTGTGCAGCCTGCGGCACGCTGAGCGACCTGAGGAATTCAACAGGCATTCACAGAGTTCTCCTACAGCAGGGATGTACAGCCGGAAAGAGACCCCCTCTCTGAGCTGATTTTGGGTGATGAATGGATTGTCATTCTGCTGCAATTTCCAGGCACTTCCACATTTGGGATATTAAATCTGGAAGGTTTATCTAGAAGTCTGCAGGAGAAGTAGCTTTTTGTGAGTATGGTTTTATTGTTTTTACCTGTTATAAACCTTGTCTTGGTTTCATGTTACAAAGAAAGGGCGATGAGGTATCTCTGCTGAGTATGCTCACATGGTGTGTGAAAGCTCTGCTGACTCTGGTTCTGCTGTGCGTGTGATGCAGTGACCCGCAGATGCACTCAAAGAGTGCTGAAGGCTGCTTTAGACTCACTGTTTGAAGTCAAAGCATGATTAAAACAATAAATGAAACCAAGATGACGCTGCGCTCTTCATTATCAAACTGCTTGAGAGGAGTTTTCACTGTTAAGTATAAAAATAACATTTAGTTTAGATTCAAATTTTACTGAATGATGGCGAAGTCTAGAAATAAACTCAACTAAAATGTTGTTCTCAATCGCAGCAACAGGTGCTTTTTATATTATTTTATTATACCACACTCTATGTTCCGCAGGTAAACATTGTTCCTCGCAACATCAGTTTCATCCATCATGAAGAGGTCTCCTCCCGGCCCTGTCTGGGTCGGAGCAATTGGTTTGATCCTCTGCCTGACACAGAGTGTGCTCGCCACGGTCCTCAGAAACTCCTCACGGCTCGAGTCAATCCTGGATAAGTACAAGGACAAAGACGAGGGGTGGTGGAAGGCCAGGTCCAGAGGCAAGAGGGCCATCAGCGAGGGAGACAAGCACCTCATCCTCGACCTGCACAACAAGCTGCGGGGTCAGGTCCACCCTCCGGCCTCCAACATGGAGTATATGGTGAGCACAGAAGATAAAGCTAAGAAAGCAAATCTAAAATACAGTATATGAAAATGAAGAATAAGCAAAGCATATAAAATCACACATATAGCTTTGGGAAAAAAAGACTGAAATAGAAGGAACTTGTGCAACTATTACAATATCTGGATATCTTGATGCATGCTCAATAATCCAGGTGGAAAAAATAAAAAAGTTAAGTCTGGTCATCTGGACATTCAAAAAACAAAACAAACCAAAACAAAACAAAAAAAAGTAGAAACGTTTTGTCTTTCATCCGAAAGACTTCTTCAGTCTGAGGTGCTGTATTCAGCTCAGTCTTATGCTGGTGAATATTCTCAGTCATCCAGGACATGGTAAATTCAAAAAAACATTCAATACAAAAACAACTGGACTTTATTTGTAACAGAAGACGTTTCGCTCCTCATCCGAGGAGCTTTCGCAATTCAAAGAGCAGTGAGTGAGCGGTTCAGGTTATAAGGCTGAGTGAGATAAGACAGATTTGACAATTCACAGTGAAGGAAGCAATTTATGTAAAGAGAAAAAACATCTCTTAACAGAGGAGGAGGCCTCAGATTTCAACTTTCAAAAACATATAATGCAACTTTAAGACTGATTCCCAGCCAGTTTTCACACTTGATGGGAACAGAGGGGCCTCAAAGACCTTAAGAAACCCCTACTGTAAAGGTGTTGAGGTGTGAATTGTCAAATCTGCATATGTGTGTGTATCTTATCTCACTCAGCCTTATAACCTGAACCCCTCACTCTGCTCTTTAAATTGAGAAAGCTCCTCGGATGAGGAGCGGAACGTCTTCTGTTACAAATAAAGTCCAGTTGTTTTTGTATTGAACGCTTTTTGAATTTAGCTCAGTCTTATAAATAGCACCTTCTCATAGTGGATCAACCAGTTTGCTGCTGACAACCAAAACCAGCTGCTCACATGATCAAGGAGGACCATCAGCCTAACAATGGATCAGTAGCACCATGATGTCTGTTACTATTCACAGAGGGCTGAGTGATACTAGCAATAACAGCATTGTAAGAGGGGGACAGTTGAACACAGAGGCCTCCACCCCTGTTTAATGATCTACGGTTTCTTTTCACAAAGATGGCCTCCTTTACTCCTCTCTCAAACCATCGTTCCTCTCTGTCCAGGATGTGAACATCTTCATCCCTGAAAGAGACTCTCGTTGGACTAAGTCTTAACCAGGTGCTCTGCATGTAACCTGGTCTGTTGCTTCCGCTCTGTCTTGAGTCCAAAGCATGATTCTCTAGTTCTGTTCAAGAGAGTAGTGGTAGAGAGAAAGCTCCTTCCCCTTGCTCCTACTCCTGGCCCCCCTCTTGCCTGCCCTCATTGACCCTGGACCAGATCCAGCTTTCACCCCCGCTGTGTTGTCCTGTCCTCTACCTCAACCACCCTGGCCACTGGCCTCCACTTCCTGCCATGCCCTCCCTTCTCTCCGTCGTTCTATTTCTCTTCACTCAGACCTTTTTTCCCTGCTGCCTTGTTCGTTTGCTCTCCTGATTGTCAGCCTCACTCTCTCTGTCCTTCAGGCTTTCCTTTGCGTTCACCCTTCTTTATATCAGTCGTTTTCAGCTCCAACCCCATTCGATGTTATTGTTGCTTTGATCGTCCACACAGCCTGAAACATTGGTGAAGGTACTTGTAACATGTCGAGACTGACTGTTTGAAGCGTGAAGCACAGTGGTGCAGATAGAGGTTGTGTACACCAATCCAGTGTTTTCTCAGTAAAGGCTATTATTACTCATAATACCGATGTGGTGTGATGGGCATGATGAGAGCCAAGTGTTTGGTTTCTAGATTCCTGGATTTGCAGGCTGCACTTTTTGAATCATTACTTGCCTGCAAAATCTGCTCAAAGACAATGCATTAAGTACGTCAGTCCTTGTTCAGCTGCTCTTCTAGAGTTGTGGTTCTCAAACTGGGGTGCCCAAACCACCGGGGGACCATGAGCCGGTGCTTGGGGGTCCGCAAAAAAAAACTTGTTTTTTTACAAACAGTAGATGTTTAACAATCCGTCAAATACACCAAAATTCAGGAAATCACAACTACTTTATTCAAAATGTTCTGGGGGAGGACCACCAGACACCCACCTCCCCACCACACACACACACACACTCCAACTCTGTTCCGGTCCGACTTGGTTCCATTTCTGCAGAGTCAGAGTCAAAGTTTCTTTATTTGTCATTTGCACAATATGTGGTACATGTGATGGAATGAAATTGTGTAACACAGGGTCCCAGTTACATCCAACAATAAAATGTAAAAGAAAAACTTTAATAAGATGTAAGATATGAACTAAGAAAAACATTAACAAAAAATATGCTAAGCACAAATAGCATAAAAACAATATGCCAAACAGCAGCACAAACATGATTCTGTGTGAGCAGATGAGTATGAATGAACACAGCAACATAAAATAAATCAGCATCAGCATGCTGTGATTTTTTTTCACAGTGATTATCCTGGTTAGATATTCATGAGTCTAACAGCCTCAGGGTAGAAGCTGTTCCTCAGTCTAGTGGTTCTACACTCAAGCTTCCAGTATACTGCTGCGTACGTACGTTCACGCGTACGTACATTCACGCGTACATACGCGTGTACTGTACGCAGAGGATTCAGACTTTGTACTCCAGCGTACACCCCGAGCAGCTGGAGAGCAGCTTCACAGACAAGGGGCGTTTACCTTCGGGACAAATTGAGGTCGCCGATTGGTCATTTGCTGACACGCCTATTGGATTGATTGACAGGTCGGGGGGAAAAAAAACGGTGCTGGCAGCCTCAGCCACAGCGGTGTTCTGTGTTTATATGTTGTTAATTAAAAGATTAAAAAAAAAAAAAAAAAAAAAACAGGGAGCGCTGGCTCTACAGCCCACACATCAGACCAGCACATCAGGAAATCTCCTGACCCTCCCGCAGCCATGTTGGACCTGAGTTTAATTCGCTCGTGACAAATTCCTTCATTTCTCACCATTTCAGTCATGGCATCAACGGAGGAGGAAGAGATCACTTGCCTCTAGGCAAAAACAAAACAAAAGAAAAGGCCAGATCAGGATGAAGAAAGGGAATTTAATACATTTGTGTCGCATACAAAACAGTCCGTCGCTGGGCAGTTTATTGTGCGACACCGCGTACGCGTAGGCGGTCGTAAAAATTTGAGCTTTGCACGGACATGCCCTGGGGGGTACGCTCGTACCTCTGCGTACGTACGTGCGTACCTCTGCGTATGGACGTACGTGGCAGTATACTGGGAACTTCAATGCTCCTCAATCTCCTTCCTGAGGGGAGTGGGGCAAAAAGTGTGTGTGCTGGGTGAGTGAGGTCTGTCGTGAATGGAGGTTTTAGAGGCAGAACTCAATGGTGTTGGCAGGACTCGGAGACTCGATGGTTAAATAAAGAAATACTTTTAATAAACACAAAATAAATGAGCTGACGTGGCAGCTGTACTCACAAAATACGAGAAACACATAGGAACACAAAGGGACTCAGGAGGTTTACCAGACGATGTCCAGACGATGAATAACACAAAGACACAGACTTATGTACAAACACTGACAAGGACAAAACACCTGTCAGGCTCACAGGTGTGGGAAAGGGGAAATCACACGAGAGGAAAGTGGACAGGGACACACCACTAGAGGCACAATCACCACATTACCCCCTCCTTAAAGGACGTCTCCAGAAGTCCCCCCAAAAAAACTGTCCTCAAAAACTTGTGTGGGAGGAGGGGGGAAACAGAACGGAGGGCACCAGGGAACACAAAAGGGAGACCAGACAGAAAACATCAGAAAACATACACACGGGACACAAAAAAGTACAGGCGGGAGGCCGTCCAACTCGCCAGAGAAGTTCAGGCAGGCGGGAGGGCGGGCAGCCGGGTGGCCGTCCAACTCACCAAAGAAGGTCCATAGATACTGTAGAGCACCCGAGCGGTGTGGACATCTTAGGACGAGACACGGATCCCTTAAGGCGAGGTGTGGACCCTATGAGGCGAGGACCCAGGACAAAGCGAGGACACCTCAGGCAAAGCAGCTGCGTTGGGACCCTCAGACTGAGGCATGGAACCTTCTACAGACTTGAGACCCTCGGGAGGCGTGGAACACGGTGTCTGGAGCAGACTTGAGACCCTCATGAGGCGTGGAACACTCAGGGTCTGGAGCAGACTTGAGACTCTGCGGTAGGCTCAGGATCTTCTGCGGCAGGCTCTGGATCTTCTGCAATAGGCTCAGATCCAGATATGGAACCCTCGAGGGCTGCAGCAGGCTTGGGACCCAGGAGAGGCTTGGGACACATTGGAGGCTTGGGACAAACTGGAGGCTTGGGACGATGATGTGTCAGGACCAAACATTATTGAGACACCAATAGATGGGGTGTCAGAACCAGTCCCCACAGAGGTGCAGGAAGATGGGGCATCAGGACCAGTCCCTACTGAAGCATAGGAAGGAGGTGGAGCATTGTGTCCCACCCCCACTGAATCACTGGAAGATGGGGCATTGGGACCAGCTCCCACCGAAGCATAGGAAGGAGGTGGGGCGTTGAGTCCTACCCCCAATAAAGCACTGGAAGGTGGGGTGTTGTGAGTGCCACCCACCGAGATTCTGACATCAGGAGACTTAGAGACCATAGGTGGCCCAAAACCTACACCAGGCAAGGAGTAGAGAGTCCTCCAGGACCCCCTCAGAGGAAGTGTGAGAGGTGACCTCCTGGACCCTCTCTGAGACATAAGGAACAGGTGGTTCATGTGGATTCTGAGGCGGCACAGTAGAGCTGAAGAGAGATGGATGTTTAAACTGTTCTTTAAAAGGGATCTGTGTTATTGCAGGTTGAGACAGTAATAATTCTTCAGGTAGGGAATAAGTTGTGTACTGGTATTCTGGATTGATTTCAGCAGATGAGAGCAGATTTTAAAGAGTGTTGTTTAAAGCAATGGATTCAGGAGATGACTTATCTGAGAAGAAGGGTTGGTCGTGAAGAGATTCGA